GGAGAACAGCACTATGATCGGCACGGGTCTGACTCCCGAAGGTATCAATCAAAATTACGTGATTTACGAGTTCATGCTCGAGACGGCTTACAGAAAAGAACCGGCCAATCTCTATCAGTGGTTGGTGGCGTGGATATATTATTTTTCACTTTTGTCGGACTCGAGCCACAAATATCGTTGCTATATTTATTGCAGGTTCGCCGATTACGCGGAGCGACGCTACGGCAGGGTCGACGATATCATGAGGATATCCTGGCAAGGGCTGGGGCTCGGAATTTACAATTACAGCAATGTAATCAATATCAGAGGTCACTACGTCATAACGAAGCGTCCAAGTCTCAATATAAAAACTTGGGTATGCATAAGATAGTCGCTGTGCGCGCCGATCGTTCGAGTCTCCTATTTCGGTTGATTTTTGTCGCAGTACTGGTACGACTTGCGTGAATTTCTACTGATCTGGGAAAACTTTGTCCTGTTCACCAACGCGACGGACGTGAACGATTTGTACAGGCACGATCTGGTCGACATAACGAGACAGTCACTGCAAATCACGGCAGACTTCATTTACGGAGACATCGTCAAAGCCTTCGAGGCGAAGAACGTCACGGAATTGGCGTAATTGATGAGCTATTTTCAGGAGTCGTTCAACGAGCCGTCGAATAAAAGGAGTTTCTATCGTCCGCAGAGAGCACTCGAGTCGGCTGCTGGAGCTGTTCGACGACCTGGAGGAGATACTGGCCTCGAGCCCGGACTTTCTTCTGGGCCGCTGGCTGGACGAGGCGAGGAAAGCCGCGCCGGACGCCTACATGCGCGCCAATCACGAGTTCAACGCCCGCAATCAGATCACGCTGTGGGGCCCCAACGGGGAGATCGTCGACTACGCGAACAAGCAGTGGTCGGGCGTCGTGGTGGACTACTTCCGGCCGCGCTGGGCCGTCTTCCTCGAGGCGCTGCTGCGGGCCCTGCGAACCGGCGACAAGTTCTCGGCTCAGAAAGTCAAACGGCTCATCTTCCGGGAGGTCGAGTTGCCCTTCAGCTACTCTACCAAGGAGTATCCTACCCAGCCGATCGGTAAGCCATCGCTCGGCAAAGTCGGCCCAAGTTTTTTTCTAATTACTTCGACCCTTTCCCAGGTGACAGCGAGCAGATCGCCATGAAATTGTACTCCAAATGGAAGCAGTATTGGGAATAAATGCCCGAGTTCGATCCCGAGTCCAGCTGTCGTACGCGTTATACATATATTATATTTGTAAAGTTAAAAACAATTCGCAGCTTAAAAACGATCGAGCAACGAACCGGAAAAAAATCGCGACAGGCGCAGAGATCGCAAGCGATTGCATACAATTCTTAATCCAAGTTCGATCGAGCCACGATAATTTCAACAAAATCAATATGTTGCTCGGAGCGATAATCAAATTATCTTGCACGAGTACTAAAAAAAAAAAAAAAAAAATTT